ATTAGATTTATTCCTTTCTTCCATGCTTAATCACAAAAAAACAAAACAAAACAAAACAAAACATAAGTAAGGACTTCATTTACATACTAAGATACATACTTGGACCAGTTTTACAAGAGAACAATGTTATTGATCGACATATAATTTATTGACTTAATTTACTATAACATTTAGATTGATTATGAGTCCCATCAAATATTAAAACTTAGTATTAATTTAACGATTATAATGAAATCATATCATTAAATTAAATTTTTAAGTTCCGATAACTTTACTATATACAAAAAGCAATCAAACTATGCTTCAACTTTTTGGATAAATTACTTTTTCTACTTACCAAGATAACTATAGGGTTTGTTTGGTTGTCGTGTTATAAAAAAAATGGATTGTATTAGATAATACAGGTTAATTCTGTATAAGCGGATAAAATACAAGATTAAATATGAGACAAGAATATTACGCATTGTTATCCAATGTTTGGTAAGACATTGGATTAAGAGTAAGAAAATAGAATAACAATTACAAATTAACTAAAAAACTATGAATCTTATCTAGTTGTTAATGTTATTGTTTATTTGTTGGGTAAAATAATAAATTTTTGGTTTAATATGATTGAATTGAATTGTAATACCACCTCTTCTGGTGGTATAATAATCGACTAAATAGTACAAAATATATATCATTTGAATAAGTATTTGAAATAATATTATATATAATACAAATTATTTTTTATAACTAAATACAATATAAGATGAAATTACAAAATCTTAATTTGTTACGACTTTATAATCTATCCTTTAATACTGCAACTAATGGACCCTTTAATGTACTGTTTGGAGTACATTGTAAGATGAAGTATGATTAAGAGCAAGTCCAAGGGGAGTTGTCATTTTTGAGGTGTCAAATGTCATTTTACAACATTGAATAGTGTTTTGACATTCCTGAATTATAAATTTGCTCAAATGATAGGTGCCAAAATAGGGTGTTATTTTAATATTTTTTATTAAAAAATATAATTAAACTTAACGATTATATTTTAATGGGTATAGTTTTCATAATGATCGCAATTTAATGGATATATTTTTATAGTAAAAATTTAAATTTTCAAATTGCGAATCCATCTACAAAAAAAAAATTATAATCAATTTAAAGAATGACCATAAAATAATCAATTAAAAAATAAATAAAACTACCCTTAATTAAAACAAATAAATCTGTCATAAATTATAAGCAAATTATAAATTATAAATTATAAATTAAAACAAGAACAGGGGTGTTAGATGTAATCATAAATTACAACGTCTTCCCCTTCCCCTAAAAAAAACGCTTTCTATCCATTCCCCTTCTCCAGATTGTTTGTTTCCCATTCCTCTCCTTCCTTTATGCCCTCTGCAACTTACAGCGACTACGGTTTCAAGGACCAGTATACCAACGACAAGGGTTTAGGAAAACTAGGGTTTTCAATATCCAAGGGTTCAGGGAAGCAATTTCTGGGAGCAATACACATATGGGTGTCAAACGTGTCAGGTTAAACAGTTACGTGTCGAGTTAAACATGTGACAGGTGAAAAATATATAAACCCGTACACGACAACGTTTAATAAACGGATAAAAAATCTTAACACGAATACGACCCGTTTAATAAACAGGAAACACGACACAACTAGTTTAATTTTAAAAAAATTATATTAATAATTTTTAATATTCTATTTTTTTTTATTGTCAATTGCACTTAGCTGAAAAAAGAAAATTTTTTAGCCAAATCTCATAAAAATAAGACTTGAAAGCCTAAAAAAAATGTAAGAGGCCATTACTTTTTATAGGTAACTCAACCCTCCCTATCTTCCCTCATTTTTCAATGTGGGACAAATAAGACTTGAACACTTAAAAGAAAAGGTAAGAGACCATTGCTTTTTATAGGCAACTCAACCCTCCCCATCTGCTCTCATTTTCCAATGTGGGACAGATAAGACTTGAAGGCTTAAAAACAAAAAGTGAGAGGTCATTGCTTTTTATAGGCAACTCAACCATCCTCATCTCCCCTCATTTTCCAACGTGGGACAAATAAGACTTGTCTTTGTCTTTGAAGTGTTTCTCATCTCCTCTCTTTTGTCTTTAAATTATTACTTTACTTCTTTTTTTCTTGCTAATTTTTTTAAATAATTATTAATTTATTATTATATTAATTTTATTTAAACGGGTAAACGTGTGATAAACGGTTTGACATATCTCACTCGAATACGACCCATTTATTAAACGTGTTTGACATGCCAACCCGTTTATCACCCAAACCCTCTAAAATCTCATTCAAACCCGTTTAATTCGTGTCGGTTAATCGTGTCGTGTCAAAATTTTGACAGCCCTAAGTACACTCCAACAGATTTTTAAGCAAGCTTTCTTCCCTTTTCCCCTCTAGAATTTTAGGGTTGAATATAGTTGTTGAAAGGAACAGTAGATCAACGACTCTTTTGAAACATTTCAATTCTCTCTTCAAAGTTGCCAAATATGCCACCCCCAAATCTTTGATGTCATTTTGTCACCTCTGATGCCACTCTCATTGGAGTCCGAATTTTTGAAGTTGGGGTGACATTTTCATGGTTATGAGAATACCACCTCTTATGGCAACTCCTGTTAGAAATGCTCTAAGTAAAGTCATTTTTGTCACTTAACTTGTAGGCCATCCGGTTTATATTACTAGTGGGGGCGGGGTGCATTTTAGGGTTGAATATAGTCGTTAAGAGGAACATTAGATCAACGACTCTTTTGCAACCTTTAAATTCTCTCTCTAAAGTTGTTAAATATATCACCCCCAAATCTTTGATGTCATTTTGCTACCTCTGATGTTATTTCCATTGAAGTCTGATTTTTTAAAATTGGAGTGGCATTTTAGTGGTTACAGGAATACCACCTCTCATGGCAACTCCTCTTGGAATTGCTCTAAGTAAAGTCATTTTTGTCACTTAACTTGTAGACCATCCGGTTTATATTACTACTGGAGGGGTTGGGGGTTGGGGGGGGNNNNAGGGGGCGGGGGAGGGCGGGGGTGCGAAGGTGGGGATGGTTGGTCTTCCTTGGGGAGGTGATGATGGCCATGTGCATCACATGCAATATGATAACCCACATAAATAATTAAGAATTGTCCCTTCGATTTTAACAAACTAATTAGTTCTTTATATTTTTATTTTTTTTATTAGTTCATATTTTTAATTAGTTTCACTTTTTTTTTTACTCCAAAATGATTTTTAAAGTGATTAATGTAAGTGAAAAAATAAAAAACTTAAGAGAGTAAGAGGACAACTTAATTAAGAAAAATAAAAAATAAACAAAAATGATATAAAACAAGTTTTTATTATTATATTATATTTTTATTTTTTTAATATGGGTTCAAGTGTGTAGGGTTGGATGTTCCACATGGTTCGACAAAAGACAAACCCTACAATTCGTTACATTAGGCCAATAAAATTTTTAAAAATATATCAAACAAATCAAATTTAAAAATAAAAAAAATAGTATCATTAGAATGAGCTATACAATCAAGTAAATCAATAATATAAAATATAGTAGGTTTCAATAAATTCATTCGATAATTTTAAATAGACTCATCTAATGACCATTAACATCTATTTCAAACTCATTCACATTAAATTTTGTCCCACTTTTTAAATTTATCACTTTTCACTTATGTTGCACTATGACTTTAAGCACGAGTTACTTCTAGTACTCATTATAATGGTTAAGTACCACATGTTATAGCCGTCCGATAGAATACCTAGAAAATAGATAAAATAGCTTCACTTTGTTTACATGATAAGGCGAGTATTATATTACATAGATTAGTGGTAATTGAATTTTTTGTATTTTTTTTTGTCCAAATTTTACGGGGTTCACTTATTCAACTATTATCATATGTTTACACCATATGACAATGTTGACTTAGTGTAACTGTTAGAGCATCTTCAACCCTATATTCAAACTCATATTAAATTAAGAGAGACTCAAATCTTTATCCAAATTTTTAATGTTAAGATTTCACCATTCGATAAAGATTTAATGGTCATATTTTACCATCTTTTAAATTTGGATTTGTCATAATTTGATTTTGAGTTTCTCCTTTTTTAAATTTAAATTTGTCGATTGGAGTCATTTCTATCAAATTAAAATTTTTTATTCAAATGTTAATTCAAATTTGAGTAAAAATTTGAGTCATGATTGAAGATGCTCTTATATTGAATACTAGTAATAACCATATGTCTAAAAACACTATACAATATAAAAAATTGAACCGATCTTACAATATATATATTTTAAATAATAATTAAATTTTTTTAATTACACAATTTAAAATTAAAATGAATAAAGTGGTATTGTGTAGATTAATGAGATTATTCGACATTAAAGACTGTGTTGATTGAGAGTCATGTAAAGAAGTTAATGTTTTTGAACCGAAAAAAAATATTGGGATGAATTTTGTACAATTGAATCAAAGTAGATGAAAATTTGATCAACATCGACCATTATTGTTCTTTTATAAATTAAAAGTTCAATTTCTTAAATATAATAGGAGAACGTTATTTTCATGACCAAAAAAAAAAAAGCTATAATAGTAGATAGATTTTCTGGTAACAAGCCAGTTTCACCCGAGCAGTTAGCTAATTAACGGCCCAAATATCAGCCCACAACCTATTTGGGCTGTTCGCTCGAGAAGGCCGAAAAAAAATCTCTACACTTGTCAAAATTTCCCTCCAAAACCCAAAAGGCCTTCAAACTTCCATTCCCTCCGAATTTCAAAAACGACAAACTCAAATTCAAACCCACGCACCTACTCACCCACACACAGTTCTCACAGAAGCTTGCTATATACGATTTCAACAATGAAGAAGTTTCGCCTTCTCATCTTCTATACGAACCCACCTTCACTTTCTTCAAGTACGCGTCCTCCTCCTCCACCTCTTCTTCGTCAACTTTGTCTAACCCCCAACTTTCTCTCTCCAAAAACCCACCATGTCTTCCTCCCCCAAACCCGAGATTTCAGTGACCTCCGTTGGTGGCAATAGCGATCTAATTGGCCCCATTCATCGCCCTTCTGGTGAAATCCACGTTATCGTTGGCCCGATGTTTGCTGGAAAAACCACGGCCCTTCTTCGCCGAATCAATTCTGGAGCCAACACGGGCAGGTATTCAGTAATTTGTCGTTCATTTGGCTAACTTCAATTAAGCTTTGTGAAGTTATGATAATCAGATTAAAAACTTACTGTTTAAGAACAAAATGTGGTCTAGTTCGATTTCTTCAAGAGAATGTTTCACGTTGGTAATCTGACACTTTTGAGAATTGCTTGCAAAATAAATGAAGGAACGTAGCAATTGTAAAATCAAATAAGGATACCCGATATGCTATAGATTCCGTTGTGACTCACGATGGCACGAGATTTCCGTGTTGGGCCCTGCCAGATCTGTCGTCTTTTAGAGAGAAACTTGGAAATGATGCTTATGATTGTTGGGCTTTTCTTTTATTGTGTGTCAAAACATTTAATTAGTTGAGCCTGCACTATTTTATTTTCTAAGCCAATGAATTTTTTTTGTTTTGTCTTTGCAAAGCCCATAGCCCAACTCCTTTGTCTTTTTACCGTTGGGGTAGCTTACAAGAAAAGCTATCACTTTATCTTTTTCCTTCTTGTTCTCTTACAATTGTTGCTTTAAAATTCTCATCTCTCTCTTTCGTTGCTTCAAAATTCTCACATTCTCTTTAGAGCTTTCACAAGGAACTATAAAAAAGGTTGTTAAACACTTTTCACAACAAGTGTGTGTTGGTGGAGGTGAAGCTATAGAAATGCTGGGAGGTTGTTGAGAACATATTATACCGAGTTATTGATTTCGAGGGGCGTGAATCAACCTTTAAGGACAAAGTTTCGGCTTGATCTATAGTTTGGTAAAATTGTTCCTTTATTTATATTTCATAAATTGTGATTTTAAGACAAATCATTTTTGGTCTAATTTCTTGGGTATTTGTTTTAAGAAATTAATAGTGCAAGAATTGTTTTTTCCATCATTTTATTGATTTATTAAATAAATTACACAACAATGATAACTTATGTGGAAGGTGGATTTTTGAATGTTTTTCGTTTTAGTTTCAAAATGATGCTGTTTAGAGTTGCCTCCTAAATTGTTGCATTTTCTTTGTAACCCCATCATCTATATCTGTTGCGCCGTGTGGATCTCAGCAGATAGATATCATTTCAATTTCAAATTTGTGAATTTCGTTCAAGTTCATGGAAAAAATTTTAATGATTCGTAAATGAAATTTAGAACACTTAAATTACAAGATTTAGAACATACCTGTATGACCCATGATATTTAATCTTTAGATTACTTTCGTAGAAGGACAAGATCTTCCTCTCTTTTTTCAAAGTAATAGACGGCTCTCAATGGGACAAGCCAAATTATGGTTATGAAGTGGAGATGAAATCTAGCCTGCTATTTATAATGAAATCTAATGGGCTCTTCCATTACGAGCTATAATTAGATTAATGCCTACACTTAACTGTTTCAATCACATTAATTAAAAGATATATTTAAGCCCATTAAAATAAATTACTTAATAATATTGAACTTATCTCATTGGATTATAAATTCAGCTTGTTTTTTACAAGCTAAAATTAACTATCAATTAATAGCAGTCCAATATAGGAAAAATTCCAACAGTTCAATCACCCACGGCTATGCTCATTGGGTTTCACTAGTGGATTCATATGGACTTAGCTGTTGAGGTTTGAACTTCACATAATTCAAAACTTGGAGGATCCAAATCTTAAAGTGACTGTGAGGATGTGGTTTAATAAAATATTGGTTCAATTAGCCTTTGTAGCAATTGTGTTGGATATGTATTGTGAAAGCTATATTCTTAATTGTTCTTTACCTGACTTGTGGGATGGCACAAAATAGATGATCATTGGGTGCTCAGTCTGTTTTTGTAGACTAGGTTAGCTTGCACTGATAAACTTTCCATGCCCTTTTTGTCTCAAAATAAGTGGAATGTAGCTGATGGGCTCTGCTAATTGGAGAATTTTATGTGGTTTAACTGGTAAAAACTGTACTGCAGTAAATGATTTCAAAAGATTTGAGGGTTGATGAAGGATTGGCGGAGTTTCTAACTGCTTACAATTTGTACAGTTAACATGGCTGATTTATGTGTTTGCATTTTGGTGTTTATAGTGTCACAATTGTTTTCTCATTAGTAATACATGTTGACAGTTGGATGCGATTGGTATCGATGAAGCTCAATTTTTTGAAGACCTTTACAATTTCTGTTATAAGGCTGTTGACCAGGATGGGAAAACTGTAATAGTGGCTGGGCTAGATGGTGACTACTTGAGGTGCTTCTCAAAATAGTCAACACTGTTTTTCATTCCTCTTCAATGGCTTTTGTAATTTCGTATCAGACTAACATGTTGCTATATGTTTACTGGAGTGCTTCTTGTTTGGTGCTTGATCTCAAAGTTCTTGTTTGTCTTTAATGTCCTAAGACAAATAATGCCCCTTCTTGATTTTGATAGTTTTAAGGTTTTTTTACAGAAGGAGCTTTGGTTCAGTGCTTGACATTATTCCCCTTGCCAACACCATAACAAAGTTGACTGCACAGTGTGAACTATGTGGCAAACGTGCCTTTTTCACCTTGAGGAAGACCGATGAGACATAGACAGAGCTTATAGGTGGTTCTGATTCATACATGCTTGTTTGTTGCCAGCATTATGTGCATGGACAAGTTGTTGAAGAAGTTGCAAGAAGTTTCTCGGAATCTCATAAAGTTCAGATTGGTCTGATTCTAGATGCAGCTGCAATTATTTAGTACCATAGCTGGCTTGTTCACAGTCTAATATATTTTCATGGGTTTTTTACTTAATTATCAGCTTTCTGTATAAAATGCACGGTTGTGTAGCTCTTCTCATACTCTAAATATCATGATGACCAGTTACAGTTACTCTTCATTAGCCGTATGTACCTCATCGTATGTACTTCATTGTTCTTGAATGCATGTATTGTACCCATTTAAGTGGATTTTTGTCTCATGAACCTCATCCTAGTAAATTTAAGGAATTAGTTATTTAACTGTAATGGAATCTGGTTCTTTTTCTCTGACTTATTTGTCATACATCTCAACATTTAAATCAGCATTATGGAGTCACTTGGGCCAGAGGTTAGGGGCCCCTGGCTTTATTTTTGATTTCCCTCTGCCGAACAAACTCATTCTTTGAAATACCTTCAGTAGTCTACTGGCATACTTTCTCTGGGAAGCAAAATTCACAGAACCAATGCAACTGGTCACCTGTCCAAGTGGATTTCTCTTCTTGCTCAGTGTTCTTCCTTCCAAACCAAATGTTCTTGAGCTCTGTGGATTGGCTGAAATTGGTTCTGTTTTCTTTGGTATGAATTCTGTTTTCTTTGAAATGTTCTGCTGTTGAAGGCCTCTCTTCAACGACATGAGTTCTTGTTCAAGATTCTGAATTCTGAAGCTTGTGGATTCATAATCCTTCCTTGAGAGCTCAGACCTGAACTCGGATTTTGGCATTGCTAGATCTTTCTGCAGAAAGAAGCTCAAGGGTTGTGTGCCTGCTTCTCCTCCATCCACATAGGGGCTCTCTCCGAGATTCTGGCTTTTGGAGTTTGCATATCTTGAGCTTGAGAGGCTTCTGGAAAATTCTCCGCAATTTGCATACCTAAATGAGTCTGAGCATTCTTTGAAGGCTTGGTGCGTATTTAGTTGCTGAACAAACAGTGCCTGGACTATTAAACGCAGCGGCATCAACTCATTCTGAACTGCTTCGATGCACACCTCTTGTGATAGTTTCTGGCAGTTGAGGTGTCTGCATACCAACCCTTTATCTTCTTGAGACAAATCTGGGTGTGCCTACAGAATAAAAAACTGTGGATTAGGGTAAATTAAGAAAATAGTATAGAAATAACTAGGGGTCTCAGAACTGATTTGATCCATTCTCAACCTATGATTTGGATCAACTATAATAAGCATATTTTGTATTGGGTTGCTAAGCAGGAGATCCAACTTGAGGGTCAAATTGAAGTAGGAACCAACCTATGTTAGCCCTGTTGATGGTAGTTTTTCAGTGTTGCTACCCAACCCCGTTGAGACTGATTGGCTGATTCCTTGTTAGTTTGAGTTTTGTTAAGGTTGACTCTTTAATAATGGTTTAGACCTGTGGTTTAGTTGATGACCAATTCAACCTGATCAATGGAGTTTGAGTTGCACTTAAGTTTGTGAGAGCTTACCTGCAGGAAGGTGTTCAATGCTATATAGAGATGATCGTGGCATTGTCTGCTAGAGATTGGCACTGTTTCAATGAGATCCATGAATCTTTTGGAATCCATCTTTGGATCACTAGCCATCTGAGTAAGATATATGTCCCATAATTCTGCAACAATGGAGTTACTTGACGAAGGAATATGGTTTGCCTCTATATTATATGACACATACGTTGAAACTATGCTCTCCATTGTGGCCAACTCAATGCTGGAGGAAATGTTTTCTGTCCCACTTTTTGGAAGGAGAAAATCTTCCACCTGACTTAAATGTAATAAGGATGCAATTTGACCTTGTAACTTTGCCTTACTGTCACTTTGGAGACCAAGTTCAAGAGACCTAGACAGCAAAGAGAAGTAAAACCCAACTGGGATTACTTTACTAGCCTTCTCCCCCATGGACAGCAAATCTAGAATTCCCTGTAGGAGAGTTGAAACTTTGTTTTCTTCATCAACATTAGCACTTTGCTCACCTGATTTCTCCCTAAACAGGTATGTCTTCTTTGAGAGAACCCATTTGTTTGCATAGAAGACCACAATGGGGCTAACATATTTTTCTTTCATACCTTGTCTTCTCAAGGATCCTATTATCCTTTTGAAGAATCCAAATGGGAGAGCAATAAGATCTTTGATCCACAGATCCTGAATTATCATCTCCTTCACCATTTCATAGCTCCAAGGTTGGTTAGCCAAAGCCTCCACTGTAACTACTGGATGCTCTCGCCTTCTCTCTGGATCAAGAATCTCCATACAAGCCATGAAGGCAAGAGACTCAATGCAGCGACTCACTATCAGCAACTCTTCAGCCCAGGGAAGCAATGTATGGCACTTTTGTAGGACTATCAGGGTATCATCCCAACTTTGCAAGACAACTTGGTTCATGTAAATATCAAACCGCTCACAGAGGTTGCTAGAGCTGTATTCTTCTGTCATTTCGAGAAACTCTGCTGCACATCTTAGGGCTGCTACATTAAAGGGATCAACTAGTGTGGAGGATCCGTAGATGAACAATGAAATCATCTCAAAGGTTTCTGGTCCCCCCGGGAAGTTTGGTGGCAGCTCAACCTCATTTGATTCATTCAATTTTCTGTTGAAGTATCCGCTCTTTGAAACCAATGGGTACTGCAAAGTAATGGAGAAAATGTAGTGAAAGGTAAGAATTTCTAAAATCATTATAAATAAGCTTCTGAATTTCCTGTTTTTTCAAGAATTTAGATAAGCAATATTCTGAAAGGTAGAAGGTAAGTATTCTATAACTGCTTCATGACCAAAACGGAATACAAAAATTATTGTCTGACAGGGTTCTTGAAAAGTCATCTTCATGGCATAAAATTCATTGTTTGGTGAAGTTGCTTGCATATAATTCAGAATTGACCTTCATTTACCTTGTGCAGGTTAAAGGTTCTATTAACAATCCGGATACGAACAGAAACAGGTAAGCCAGTCTCTTGACTCCTGAGATAGCATTCAATCAGGATCAGATAACTTGGAATATATCTTAAAGCAACATTGTGAAACATGGAAAAGAACCGACGAAAACACCATCTTACCATGAAATAATCTTAATCTTCAACAGGGCACCAACATTTGGAGATGAGAAAGGACTAGAAAGCACTGGACTCTCTTTTGGGCTAGCAGCATCCATTGTTAGAGCTCATGAAAGAATTTTCAACACTCTATAGCAGTTAGAAGTGAAGCTACTGATGGCAATGACAGATGAATTTATTCTCATCTATATACAGGTATATCTATACTAATTAAATTGCTTTCCATGGGCATAAATGCTTGAACCTCGTCTCAAGGATCGAAAGATTAGTTTTTTTTTCCTTCCCGGGCTTCTAGAATCCAGAAAACCAGTGAAGTGAATGAGAATGAGATAGAAAAAAGAGGTGGTTTGATCACTTTGTTTCCACACTTGGTGCTGTTTTTCATATTTTTAGTCAAAGTCATATGCACACGAGTGGACTCAAAAATCCTAGTTTTAAGGCTTCCTTAACGTTCTTGAATGTTGGGTAGTTGAAATTTCTGTGCTATTTCTTGGCATTGGGCAGAAGAAAAAAGGATAATTCTAAAAAACAAAAAAAAATATTCTTCTGAAGCTTCTATTGCAGATTTCTGTGTGACCCCATGCTGATTCAACTCGACTGGTAATTGATCCTGACCATTGAATTATGTTGTGTACGCTTAATGGTTTTGTTTTTTCAAAATTTTGGCAGTTCTATTAATTAAGGTTGATAATTGAGCCGAACTACTCGGATTCGATTCGAGGTTGGCTCGGGTAAGGTTTAATTCGAGTTTGGCTCGGGTACTAAATGAGTTAAGCTTGAATAATTTTTTAAACTTGGTTCGTTGATACGTAAAATAGTCGAGCGGGTTTGATTAGTTTTGGAATTGGCTTGGGTTTGTCTTATTTTTTAAACAAGCTAAGTTTGAACAATTTACTCGACTTGTTTAAAAAAATGAGCTCATCAGACCCGATTCGAATTTGTAAAGCTCGGCTCAATTATTAGTCCTACTTATTATAAACAAGCCCATCTTGGTTTTGCACGGTGACCAGTTTGTGTTCGGTTTGTGTTAAGCTTGTTAATTCATAAAAAAACTAAGATTTTGGGTATTAATTAAAAAAAAATTGTTTGATGAAATTAGCTAAGCCTGAGTAATGTTTATTCGGCTTGTCTAGTTTAGTTTGATGAACATGGGTATAATAAATGTCTACATGTGATCGAGGTGAGTTTGATCTTGGACAACAAGCACGAGTTCAATTCTTGATTAATTATATCAGCCAAGTTGGAAAAAATGTTAGCAAGACACATAAAATTGTCATCTTGGGTCCTCTTTGCAAATAAATGAGGTGAATTGTGATAAGTTTTGTTCTTAGGTCGGTTTGAATTTGTACCCTGATTAAAGCTTAAAAGTGTAGCACAACAATTTTTGTCGTCGAAGTGTGGAATGAACCACATGGGTTCCCTCCAAAAAAAAAAAAAAAAAAAAAAAACCACTTGGGTTAATTTAAAAAGTTAAAAAAGTTTTATGGGGAAAGAGAAAAAGGTGGAAGTAGAAAATTTCAATGCTAAGATAAATGAAAAGGTGAAGAAGCTGAAGTGTGGGTGAAGTTTTGTTTGGTTTGTAGCAAAAAGCCAACACCCAAGACGGCACGGCTTCTGAAAATCTGGTTTAGTTATTTATTGACGGGTTTGGTTGCTTACTCTCACAGCAAGTCTCAACCTCTAAATTTCATTCACACTCTCCCGTAAATAATCTTATTTGCAAACACATCTTTTATATTTTCTAAAACTTCACCGCACTCCCCTTTAGCTAACATATCCGTTTCATGCACACCTTGATATCAATTAATTGTGTCATTTTTGAATTTTGCGTTTGGTCGAGTTTGTGTTAATTATCAAAATTGACACCCCTACCCCGTAATTAGTTTCCAATACTGACCAAGTAAAAATGATGATGTCATGTAATTTTTTCAAAAGGGTATTATACCCTTTTTCTATAATACATTGTCTCTGCTTCTTCATTCTTCTCTTCTTATTCCATCACATACATATTCATTCACACACATCAAAATAACTTCTTCATTCTTCTTCTTCTTATGTCACACACAGCATTGAACATGAGATTATTGCATGCATGTAACATAGACAAGAGAGTAACTCACCCAAATTGCTTATTTCTCCTCCATTGCTTCTAAAAGTTTGCTTGATTCTTTAAATTGCTTATTTCCGCTGTACCTAGAAATCAGTGGGTTCTATATGAGCACTTGGAACTTTTAAACTAATAAAAGAACCCACCTGCTATATCAATTGCCCATACAATACACTTGTAGTAAAGCATTTGTTTGGACAAACAAATTGGACTCAAACCCAAACTCATAAATATGAACGTATGTAGTTTTTAGGCTTTTCGTTGTTTTGAAATTGCTATTGCAAGGCAGTTTGATCAAGAATAGCCCCTTGACGGGAGTGAGTGGGCAAAAGGGAGGTCTCTCAACTCAAACATCTCTCTCTTTATGGGCAATTTGGTAAAAGGATGCTTAATAGTCAATCGACATTAGGGGTGTTAATCGTGTCGGGTTAAACGATTACGTGTCGAGTTAAACGAGTGACGAGTGAAAAACGTATAAACCCATATACGACACGTTTAATAAACGGGTAAAAAATCTTAACACGAACACGACCCGTTTAATAAACAGGTAACACGACACAACTCGTTTAATCAGTTTAATTTTAAAAAAATTATATCAACAAATTTTAATATTCTATTTTTTTTTACTACTAATTGCACTTACTTTAAAAAAGAGGAATTTTAAATCAAATCTCATCTCATAAAAATAAAATTTAAAGACTTTAAAAAAACAAAACAAGAGGCTATATAGCCTTTTATAGGCAACTCACCCTCCCTATCTTCTCTCATTTTTCAACGTGGGACAAAAATAGAAGACATTAGTTTGCCTTTGTCTTTGAAGTGCTCTACAACTCCTCTCATTTGTCTTTAAAAAATAAGACTTGAAGGTTTTAAAAATAAAAGTAAGAGGTTATTGTTTTTTATATACAACTCAACCCTCTCCATCTCCCCTCATTTTCCAATATAGGATAAAAACAAAAGACATTTGATTGTCTTTGCCTTTGAAGTGTTTGCCAACTCTTCTCATTTGTCTTTGAACTACTACTTTATTTTTTTTTTATTGATTTGTTTACTTCTTTTTTCTTGCTAATTTTTTAAAATAATTATTAATTTATTATTATATTAATTTTATTTAAATGGATAAACGTGTGATAAACGGTTTGACAGGTATCACCCGAATACGACCCGTTTATCACCCAAACCCGTTAAGATCTCACTCAAACCCTTTTAATTCGTGTCGATTCGTGCCGATTAATCGTATCGTGTCGAATTTTGACAACCCTAATAGACATACACTTAAAGGGGCGTCAATGAAATTTTAAAAATTACAAGGCGTATATTTGAAAATAGGGCAATATACAGGGGGTGTGGATGAAAATTCTTTCCAATATTTTAATATTTTTTTCGAGTTTAAGGGCTTTTTTTGGTTGTTTATTGTTGTTCTTCAATTTGGAATAGGGAATTCCCAAAGACCAGCAGAGTCACAGCTTCACATCCTTGCAATTCAAGAAATTCATTCTTTATCTTTCCTTCCCAAAGACCAACTTGTTATTTTTCCAGTTAGAGTCTTGGAGACCTATTGTGGAAGCAGGGATGTCAATCGAGTCGTGTTGTTTTATGTTCGGAGTGTAATGATTTGTCATATTTGTTTTGTGTTTATATCATATTTAATAATTTTATTAAATCAAATACGTGTGGGACAAGAACTTTTTCAGAGAGAGAGAGAGTCGAAAGCAACGTGGTCAAGAGCAGATGAAGAACAATTCAATTTCGACATAGGTTTATAATTCGGGCGATGTGAAGCATGTGAAAACAGTCAATGGTTCTACTGCTTTTTCATCAAGTCCCAGACTTCTTTCGTAAAGTTCCAAAGTCTGAGAAGAACAAGTAGTCAATTGCTTTAAATTAGGGGCAACGATTATAATCAACGATCAGCCAAATATTGACAATGTTTCTTGATGACAGTATGGGTAAATTGATGCAGATGAGACAGTAGCATAGTATTTGAATCGTTGAAATCAATATTGAGGTGATTTGAATTGGTTATATAGATTAATTTTTTCAGAGTTACTTCCGCTCACATGAATCTCAAAACGCCCACGGATAATCAGAAACGATGGGACAAAATGAACCAATTGATACGATGACTTAGAACGGATTTTGGACAAAATTTTTCGTTCAGTATTTGAAAAACGTGTAATTTTTTATAGTTGAATAACTTTAATGTCTTAAGTCAGAATTGATCGTCGTCAGTTTTACGGGTGATTAACAGTTTTTAGCCGTATAATTAGTTTAAAACTTTCTTTTTTTGGCAAAACCTATATTAATAACTTAATTACATAATTAAAGATAATTAAGTTGTGTTTTATTATTTATATTTTTGTAAGCTTTAAGACTTAACAGTTTTGAATTGATTAATACAACTGCAAAAATTGTCTATTTTATTTCCAATTCTTCTATTATTTTTTAAGAATTAACAAATTTTTTGAAGCATTTAAGACTGATATTCTTGTAAATCAGTAGGTTTAGAGTAGAAATCTAAATTAGTATTTATACACAAATTAATAGTTTATTTTTATTATCCCCCTTTGTTCATTATACCCTTGTTTCTACCGAAGCATCACAACAAATGCAACTGAAAAACAGTTCCAAAAGACAGACAAGTTCAGAAGGACCACCTACTAGAGTTCATGAAACAACCTTGCCCAATTTGCTTACAATGAATGTAAAATATATCCTTTTTCTTCTTCAGAAAACACAATTACAACCACCACCTCAGTTTATAACTACAACCTAAGCGAAGGAAAGAGGGCTCAGGCTGTTGTTGTATAATGTATGGATGGGAGGATAAATCCAGCTGGGGCCCACAGGATCTAGCATTGCGAGTCATGTTGTGGCTTCCCTTCGTGCTTTTTCGTCTCATTTGAGAGGTATTTTCTGGCCAAATGGGTAAGCCGAGTTGGTTAATGTCAGTACACCCTTGACATGGTGGCATTTTGTGGTAGATGCATGAATGATAAGTCCTCAACACTAGTCCCAAGAAATGTATAGGACATTAGCACTGAACTGTGCATAGGTGGCAGGAATAATACGAGGTAAAAATTCTCAAAATTGGCAAATGCCTAGACAAAAGCATGTATTAACTGACTGAATTTTCTTTCTAACAGCAAATGAATTCAGCTAGGTCTCATCGCAGTCGGCAACGTCAGAAAGGAATGGGTCCTTAAGAAGTTCAGAGGCCGAGGGTCTTGCTCTTGGTTGGCCAATGCACCTTTCAATGAAGGCCTTCAATTCCGGGTCATTTACTTTATTCAAGGCTTGAGGCTTTACACCAGTGGTCACCTTCTTGTATATCTGAGCAATACTAGCACATTCGCTGTATGGTATTTCCATTGTGGCCATTTCAAGCAACGACATTCCAAATGAGTAAATGTCCACTAACTCTGTGTAATTCTCTTCATACAGCTCTGGTGCCATATACTCTGGTGTCCCTAACAATGAATGCGCCTCATGGCTCTTCCCCACCGTTGCTGCTAAGCCTAGATCACCAATCTTGACCTGTACGTTAATCAAAATCATTTAGACAGCATAGAGATCAAATAATTGAGAAAGATGCTACAACCCAAAAGAAAAAAATGGTATGCGATTGATAGAGAATTTCATTCAGTTGAAACAAATAGTAGGTACCTTTCCAATGTTCCCGTTGATGAAGATGTTACTACAGTTCAGATCTCTATGAATGATGCAAGGATCATGGGTGTGGAGATACTCCAAGCCCTCGAGTATCTGTCTTGACCACTTCTTCAAGGCCCTGAGGGCCACATGGCGATGCTTCTTCCTGTAATCCCTGAGGCTACCAGAGGCACATTCCTCCGTAATGAAATTCAAGGTGCTATGTTCGCTGTCCTTCCAGAAGTGGAAGAGAACAATGATATTATCATTCTTCAATGTTGTGAGAAGCTCAATCTCTGAGTAAAGCCTACTGATGACAGATGGGTCAGCGCTGAACTTCCTCAACCGCACCTGGTTCCAAGCCACATCTCTTCCCTCCTTCTGATCAAATGCCTTGTAGACCTTCTTCACAGCACCAGAGCCTAGCAGTTCACTATATCGACCAAACCGTCCTGATGGATCAACCTCAACAAACGGTTCATTATCTTCATCAGGTGGTTCAGGATTAGCAAACAGCATCCCAAAGTTGTATAAAACCACAACCAGAATCAATTCAAAGGCAAACGAACACGATTCTTCTCCAAAAGTCAGATGATCAGATCACCTCTACAATCGAGAAAGACAGGCTCAAAGTGAGATACACCCCAAATTGTGAAACTTGAGCTTAAAATAACATGGAGTAATTTACTAAATCAAAGCACAAGCTTATTTCAAGGCTGATATAACAGATACAAATCAGAATACAAAGATCAAGAAATACAACTCAAAAGGATGAAACATCAGATCTGGTCAAACTAATATACAGTATCTGATCCCATGATCAATCAATTGTACAATACAATGAACTAGAACTAATATTAACAAAAAGACACATTCTTTCACCAGTGTAAATTTTAAAGTTAAATGAATTAGAAGGAATGATCAATAGGGTTAATTCAAGTAAAAAAAAAGATTAATACTGTATCAAACAACTAGATTTCAAGAGGGGGGTTGATTATGATCAGAGTAAAACACCAAACCAATGAAAAATCTGATAGCAAGACTAAGAAAACAAATCTGTTACTGTTTTTCTGCTACACCATGTCAAAATTACTGATCACCAAAAAAAAAAAAAAATCCGGCTCAAATTGAAACTGAGAATACTAGTCCGCACTGTTTCAGCATAGATACGATTTCCAAGCTGGTTAAAAAAAATAGAAATAATTAAAAAAAAAAAACAGTATAAGCAGAATTAATTTTGTGGGAATTGTAACAAATACAAATTAAAGTTACCAAAAAAAACAAAAAACAATCAAACACCAAAATGTTGTATCAATATTCACATTCTTAATCACGAAGGAATAGCGTATCTATGCTAAACTCCAACAACCAACACACAAAAAACAGAGAAGGAATCTACAGCTCATAGTAACAAAAGCGAGGTGGACATTTTGATGTGAAAACTAGGGCTTAAAGCATCAAATCTTCAAGCAAAGCAATTAAGAAGAGAAAATCGCTTTATAGAAAAAGAACGAGTGGAGTAAAAAAAATCACCATGAGACTAGCAGAGGTTGAAACGCTAAACGTTCTGACGAGATCGAGATCAGCGGACAACGGCGTTCAACGACGTTGTCGTTGAGAGGAGCAGTCGGCTTGAGCTTTGAGCTTAGAGAGTTAGAGAGAGAGNAACTGTAACAAATACAAATTAAAGTTACCAAAAAAAATCAATCAAACACCAAAACGTGAAGTTCTGATTAACTTATTACATAAGTGCTGTATCAATATTCACATTCTTAATCACGAAGGAAAAGCGTAGTCTAAACTCCAACAACCGACACACAAAAGAAGAGAAGGAAACTACAGCTCATAGTACCAAAAGCGAGGTGGACAATTTGATGTGAAAACTAGGGTTTAAAGCATCAAATCTTCACGCATCAATTCAGAATAGAAAATCGCAGTATAGAAAAGAATGAGTGGAGTAAAAAGAATCACCTTCAGATTAGGCAGAGGTTGAAACGCTAAACGTATAGAGAGAGCTGTCGAGATCGAGATGGAGAGAGAGAGATCGGAATTTGGTATTAGGCAATGGACGAGAGTGGAGAGAGGTGGGTTTATATCGGCGGTGTAACGCGGCTTCAGTTCACACTCCAATTCCAATTAGTAGTGTGATTAATCAACTATATTGAGTCAACTCGAGGATCCTCCTATGTTTCTTACCACTCATTTTACATTATCTTTGAGTCTAACTCAGTTTGGTCAAGTTTAGTTAAACCCGCATTAATTGGGAGTAAAATCTGTTTTAATATATATATTTTATTTTTTTTTCTCTTTTAAAAATTAGTTAAGGTGAAATTTAAATAGGGCTCATCGCGTATAAATAAATTCCTTATCATTGACCCGTTGCAATTGACTCTAAGGCGAGTTGTAAACACGAGATATCTTGAACTTAATTTTCACTTTTATCTCTCAAGTTTAACTTGTACTTGAACTAACAGATTATTGCTAGTACCTGAACTTATTCTACATGAAATTCTACATGAATAGATTCAATGTACCTTGTAACATAAATGTTCTTTGTCAAAAAATAAAAATTCAACAATTATTAGATTACTCTGACTACTCGGAGATTTCAAATTTTAGAATAGGTGACTTCGTACCATCAAAGGTTATCTTCAATCTTTACTCAAATTTTAAGTAAAAAATTTAATTTGCTTTGATCATCTCGTTTTAAACTTATTTTTATAAATTTGAGTAAGGATTGAAGATACATTAAGATGGGCGATGTGCATTCATGGTAACCCCAAGATCTGAAAAAATCTGCATCATTATAGTATGTGAGAAACCTTAACAACCCATGCCATGTGAGGCTTGTGAAACCAGTCGGTTGCTTTCATGAAGAACNCAAAAAAAATCAATCAAACACCAAAACGTGAAGTTCTGATTAACTTATTACATAAGTGCTGTATCAATATTCACATTCTTAATCACGAAGGAAAAGCGTAGTCTAAACTCCAACAACCGACACACAAAAGAAGAGAAGGAAACTACAGCTCATAGTACCAAAAGCGAGGTGGACAATTTGATGTGAAAACTAGGGTTTAAAGCATCAAATCTTCACGCATCAATTCAGAATAGAAAATCGCAGTATAGAAAAGAATGAGTGGAGTAAAAAGAATCACCTTCAGATTAGGCAGAGGTTGAAACGCTAAACGTATAGAGAGAGCTGTCGAGATCGAGATGGAGAGAGAGAGATCGGAATTTGGTATTAGGCAATGGACGAGAGTGGAGAGAGGTGGGTTTATATCGGCGGTGTAACGCGGCTTCAGTTCACACTCCAATTCCAATTAGTAGTGTGATTAATCAACTATATTGAGTCAACTCGAGGATCCTCCTATGTTTCTTACCACTCATTTTACATTATCTTTGAGTATAACTCAGTTTGGTCAAGTTTAGTTAAACCCGCATTAATTGGGAGTAAAATCTGTTTTAATATATATATTTTATTTTTTTTTCTCTTTTAAAAATTAGTTAAGGTGAAATTTAAATAGGGCTCATCGCGTATAAATAAATTCCTTATCATTGACCCGTTGCAATTGACTCTAAGGCGAGTTGTAAACACGAGATATCTTGAACTTAATTTTCACTTTTATCTCTCAAGTTTAACTTGTACTTGAACTAACAGATTATTGCTAGTACCTGAACTTATTCTACATGAAATTCTACATGAATAGATTCAATGTACCTTGTAACATAAATGTTCTTTGTCAAAAAATAAAAATTCAACAATTATTAGATTACTCTGACTACTCGGAGATTTCAAATTTTAGAATAGGTGACTTCGTACCATCAAAGGTTATCTTCAATCTTTACTCAAATTTTAAGTAAAAAATTTAATTTGCTTTGATCATCTCGTTTTAAACTTATTTTTATAAATTTGAGTAAGGATTGAAGATACATTAAGATGGGCGATGTGCATTCATGGTAACCCCAAGATCTGAAAAAATCTGCATCATTATAGTATGTGAGAAACCTTAACAACCCATGCCATGTGAGGCTTGTGAAACCAGTCGGTTGCTTTCATGAAGAACCCCACATTTTCGANCAAAAAAAATCAATCAAACACCAAAACGTGAAGTTCTGATTAACTTATTACATAAGTGCTGTATCAATATTCACATTCTTAATCACGAAGGAAAAGCGTAGTCTAAACTCCAACAACCGACACACAAAAGAAGAGAAGGAAACTACAGCTCATAGTACCAAAAGCGAGGTGGACAATTTGATGTGAAAACTAGGGTTTAAAGCATCAAATCTTCACGCATCAATTCAGAATAGAAAATCGCAGTATAGAAAAGAATGAGTGGAGTAAAAAGAATCACCTTCAGATTAGGCAGAGGTTGAAACGCTAAACGTATAGAGAGAGCTGTCGAGATCGAGATGGAGAGAGAGAGATCGGAATTTGGTATTAGGCAATGGACGAGAGTGGAGAGAGGTGGGTTTATATCGGCGGTGTAACGCGGCTTCAGTTCACACTCCAATTCCAATTAGTAGTGTGATTAATCAACTATATTGAGTCAACTCGAGGATCCTCCTATGTTTCTTACCACTCATTTTACATTATCTTTGAGTATAACTCAGTTTGGTCAAGTTTAGTTAAACCCGCATTAATTGGGAGTAAAATCTGTTTTAATATATATATTTTATTTTTTTTTTCTCTTTTAAAAATTAGTTAAGGTGAAATTTAAATAGGGCTCATCGCGTATAAATAAATTCCTTATCATTGACACGTTGCAATTGACTCTAAAACGAGTCGTAAACACGAGATATCTTGAACTTAATTTTCACTTTTGTCTCTCAAGTTTAACTTGTACTTGAACTAACAGATTATTGCTAGTGCCTAAACTTATTCTACATGAATAGATTCAATGTACCTTGTAATATAAATGTTCTTTGTCAAAAAATAAAAATTCAACAATTATTAGATTACTCTGACTATTCGGAGATTTCAAATTTTAGAATAGGTGACTTAGTACCATCAAAGGTTATCTTCAATCTTTACTCAAATTTTAAGTAAAAAATTTAATTTGCTTTGATCATCTCGTTTTAAACTTATTTTTATAAATTTGAGTAAAAATTGAAGATACATTAAGATGGGCGATGTGCATTCATGGTAACCCCAAGATCTGAAAAAATCTGCATCATTATAGTATGTGAGAAACCTTAACAACCCATGCCATGTGAGGCTTGTGAAACCAGTCGGTTGCTTTCATGAAGAACCCCACATTTTCGAGAAGAACAGACTGTCAATGGCTGCACAAAAAGGGCAAAGATTGCAATCAACGGTCAGCCAAAACAATTGAACCGTTGGAGCTTGTGAATGTATCCGTGTTCCTATTCACTTCACAGATTCAACTTTTTTTCCCACTCTAATTACAATACAAGCAAATAGAGCTGAAAAAAGAGTTCAACAAGAGAAAATCAAAAGGACGACTTGAATTCAAAGAACAGTAAAGAGCTCACGGAACACCCGTGCCAAATTTGCTTACAATGAATGTTGATACATCTTTTTCCCGAGAATATAAGTAACATATATACGAATATTATCATATACAATGGGTAGAGACGGCTGCTCTTCTTAGTGAGGGTCAAACTCACGACCTCTCATTTGGGATTTGTGAACTTTTACCAATTGAGCTAAATACAACGATGTTGCTGCTGCTGTCGTATAAAGATGTACAAAGATGATTGTCGAATTGGGTATGTCGAGCTTTGGAATGTTCAGACTAGCTCAAGTTGACAATCATAGGCTCAAACTCATTACTGCTAAGTAAGAAAATAAAACACAAGAACTCATCTCAAGCCTACCACCTTTACAGACTCAAAACAGAGAGAGAAAAAAAAAAAAGAATAATCACCAGATTTGTTTGGACATTAAATACTAAAATCATCCATAAATAGGATTGCTTGGAGGCAAGTCAATTTCGACTCTGGGTCATATGAAGGTGATGCCATGATGGTTTTTCATCTAAGCAACACAAAGGTATAGCTCGGCTCCATTTCATTGCAGTTTGAAAGACGTGCTCACCATTTGACAGCTCAGAGTAGCCAGATCCAAACTCATCTCTAAGCAAGGACTTGATATGCAAAATCAAATCCTTTAGTTTCATATGCAAAGAGCTGGAGCTGAGGTGCTTCAAACTCCACCCTAAGGCACACACATATTAGACAGATCATGCATCAACTTCTATTTGTTGCATTAAGCAACTTATAAACCTATTCTCAGCCACATACCCTTAATGAAAATGCAGTATGACTCAAGATGAACATGAGAAAACGACATATCCAAGTTTTTGTATTCTATTGAATGCAAGCCATGTGACAACATGTGAATTCACTTTAGTTAAGTGAGCTTCAAGGGCTAAAGCGAAAGACCGTTACAGAAACCTTAAGTTCCTGGCTCCGGACATGGGAGGATATGCAGATTTCAAGTAATCATTGAGAAGCTCCAGACACAGGAGTGGCAGTATCTTAGTCCAGATATCAAAAATCTGCATTACATCTAAGATACAGAACACAATTACTGTACGAAAAAAATATGGTACAACGCAGTTTTTGAAGTCCAAAAAATAATAATCAGCTGCAGCTATCCATAAAAGTTTGGGGAGAACACAGAAAGCTGAGTTTCAATTCAAGTTAACAAGGCATTTGAAATTGAATGAGGGCATTGCACTGATAGTCAATTCATGTTACGAACATAATACCAATGATGTTCTGAACAGATGACAATGACTTAGAGAAGGTTTGTAGAAAAATCATTTATGAATCCCTAACAGGTAAGCTAACTCAGTACGGAAGGAAGTCCTCAATAATACTTGGGGGAATTAGATGATGAGTTTATAAGAAACAGTGAAACACAAAGGATGTGGAATTTTACTCTGCTTTTCTTTTCCCTACAACAAGAACTGGACAGAGAAAGTAATAAATACCACTATATAAGACGAGAAAAACAAAAAATGCATGCAGGACAATCCCAAAGGTAACAGATGATCCGAGAATATGCACAAGATATATTCTCAACATAATTGCACCATAGCAAGAAACGGTGAATTTACAGCAACATGAAG